TGAGAGAGAGAAGGGAGGCAGAGGGTTGGTGGTAGTGGATCCTCTAAACTTCAAAGTACTATTGGGCAGTCTGGATAGCTGCCTAATAGATAGTAGGCATCAAGTAAAAACCCGTCCAACAAAGGGAATAAATCAATGAATATTCTGTCTTAGGAATCCCCAACTGAGCCAAAAGGAAGTTACATTATTCAAAAGCAAAGAACATATTAAGAGTGAACCCAACTACTTCTCTTGCTTGTCAACTACTCTTAGGAAGATTAAACAGAAATTGGGATTATAACTCTCAGTAGAGAATCTGAGGGTGGTGTCACAAATTATAGGTAGATCACATGAAATATGAATGCAAATAACTAATAGGTAAAGGATTTTTGGGTGCACTAGATCTGTGCTGCCCAGTACAGTAGCCATATATGTGCTAGATTAATTTCTCATGGAAGAGATAGCCTCTGTGTATGTTATGAGGTTTTTGGTTGCAAGGAACAGAAATACTCTTCTAAAAGTAGCTAAAATGAAAACATTTATTGTCTCATATAACAGGAAGTTCAGAGGTAGGGCAGTTGCAGGGTTGTTCAGTTCGGGTCTCAGGGATGTCATCAAGGACCTAAGCTCTTTTGTTCTTCCCACCCTGCCATGCTCAGCATGTAGCATTTGCCCTCTGTCCTGTCTCCTCCAGTCCCCAGCATGGCCTGGGCCCCAGGCAGCTTATCCTCACATAACCATCACTAAAGGCTGGTGGAAGAAAGGAGTGTCCTTTTCTTCATGGGGAGAAAGTCTTCTTGACCTCTGTCTCTCTAGCAAACTTCCCCTCGGTCCCCGCTGTTAGGATTGGGACAATGCTGTGCCCTGCTATAGGGGAAGCTGGGAAAATAAATATGTGGCAGAGAGAGCTGGGTTGCCTGACAAAGAAGAAGAACTAACGAATGACCATTGACCAGCCAGCAAACAGGCTCTTCCTATGTGTCCTCTGTGGGCCTGGCATGGGGCAGGCCCTCAACACATCTGTGGGATGAAGAGAATGGAATGACAGTTAATCCAGAGTTCCCTCTAGACACTTATTGACTTTGTTCTGAGAGGCCGTTGCTACCTAAATGATATCATTTCTCAGGAGCACATTCAGAGTGGCTCCAGGTCAGACGGGCCTGTGTTTCTACTTGATACACATGACATTGGATTTTCCCCTTTCTTCTTTTTTTAAATTTTTTTCTTTTTCTTTTTTAAAAATTTCTTTATTGATTAAGGTATTGCATATGGGTCCTTATCCCCCATTGCCCCCCCCCCCCCCCCGCCACTCATGCCCTCACCGCCCTGTTGTCCATGTCCATTGGTTAGGCTTATATACATGCATACAAGTCCTTTGGTTGATCTCTCCCCCTTACCTCCACCCTCCCCTACCTTCCTTCTGAGGTTTGACGGTCTGATCGATGCTTCTCTGTCTCTGGATCTGTTTTTGTTCATCAGTTTATGTTGTTCATTATATTCCACAAATGAGTGCGGTCATGTGGTATTTATCTTCTCTGACTGGCTTCTTTACTCAGCATGGTGAACAATGGAGTGAAAACGCCTGCACCACCTGCCTATGTGACCGGGGCAAGGTCCGGTGCCACACGCAAGCCTGCCCCCCTCTGAGATGTGAAAAGGTACCGAGAGAGCGTGTAGCGTGATTTTCAAAGTTTTATTCTGGACCACGTCAGACATGGGTTTCTTAGTCCAGTGTGTCCTTTGGGGCAATCAAAAGTTTATAATGTTTAGTATATCGTATAAAGGTATGAAAGGTCTGCTTCCAGGAAGGAGGGCTGAGGGGAGGCAGACATGCCGGGCTGGGTGAGGTGGGGGAAGAAGAGAGGGTGGTGATGCGATATGGCCTCCTGTCCCACTGGCTGGGATGTCTCCTGAGCACCCTTCTACACCCTCCCTTCTTCCTGTTTCCTCAGGGTCAGAGAAGGGCTCAGCGCCATGGGGAGTGCTGTGAGGAATGTGTGTCTCCTGCCGGAAGCTGCTCCCACCTTGGGAGTGTGCGGTACCAGGATGAGATGTGGCAGGGCTCCGCCTGTGAGTTCTGCGTGTGTGACCGCGGCCGAGTGACCTGCCACACCGGAGAGTGTGCCAGGGTGGAGTGTGCCCAGGTAAGAAGCAAGGGCATTTCCACCTGGACTGTGAGAGCGCTCTCTGGTGGGATAGGGGGTCTCTCCCCGGTTCCCTACTTCTTGGCAGCAGAGGGGCCCACCCGGCCAGCAGGTGGACTGCTTCTAGCACGAGGATGCTGTGGTTTAAAGTAAATGTCCCTGTTTGCTCAGACAGGCTCGGAACAGTCCCCTGGAGCCTTCAGCGCTCAGGGCATCTGGTCAGAGGGGAAGGCCTGGGACAGACACAGGAAGGGAAGGACACGATGTGGCCATGAGCCTCTCCGCCAGTGCAGCTGACCTCGTTGCTGGTGCCTGCCCAGCTGGCTGTGCTTGCGAGACAGGGGCCCTCGGGGGCTCCAGGCTCAGCTTCTGCTGCAGGCCCACTGGCAGCGGTTACTCAGAGAGGAGGGCCAGCACCGAGGGGCTGCTCCTGGTGCCCAGGAAAGAGAATAAAATGTTTTTATGCTTTTGTTCTAAGTGTGTGTGTGTGGGGGGGGAGCTCCACTTGCCTTTCTGAATAGTGGCATGGTCCCCAAATTGGAGACTTATTGGAATTTATTTTACCTGAGATGGCTTTAAATCAGTAGACTCTTGACCCTGATATATCTCATGTGTGGTGCAGTAAAAAGAACAAACTGTGAGAGTGAGAGTGTGTGTGTGTGTGGGGGGGGAGGGGGGGTCAAGAGTAATTAACTCCCTTGACCTCTTTTAACTTCTGCTGTCTGCTGAATTTCTAGAAGCCTCTCACAAAGTAGCCCCTGTTTGCACTATAGTATATTATAGGGAAATTGCTTCTTTTTTCTCTCTCACTTTGAACTCAATTTTTACCCACTGCAAAACAAATTGCTTTTAAAGTTGCCTCTTTCTCCCCTACCGCTCCCTTCCGCCCCACCAGTTCCCCGCGGGGTTGTGAATTTGAACAGAAGAGGGAAACTCCGGGGATCAGAGGCACTGGGTGTCTGTAAAGATATTTTTCTTTCTAATTCTTCCTCCCCACGTCTCAGCTCCTCCTCACACTGAGCCTAAGGAGGAACAACCTCGCAAACAAGCCTGCCTTGACAGGGTTATTTTTCATTTGCCTCCTACATCGGAGTCCTGGCAGACCTGAGACATGTTTAAGTAAAGCGGGTCTTGCTCCTTGCAGATTTACTTCCCCCCACACACCTTTTCATTTCTTCTCCTTCATTATGTCAGGGCGTCAGAATTGTTGGATGAAGATGAGAAAAACCCTAATCAGGGCCCTTGTCTTTCTCCCTCTCTCGGGCTGAGGCAGGGCTTCCTGGCCTCGGCAGTCTGCCCAGAGGATGCTGGGTTATTTCCCAAGGTTTTAATTTGTCTCAGATCTTTGGGTTTATGGAAGACATGATCCTGGTCGGGTGAGTCCTTCCTCCATCTATTTTGTCTGAACAAGGAGTCGCTCTCAGAGAAGATCATTTGACCTATTACCCCCAATGTTGGGGAGTTTCCAAGTGCTTCCTGTGACACCTACATGTGGCAGCATAAGCCAGGTCTTCTCTGTTTTTAGGGAAAACGAGGAGCAACTGTGGAAGTAAGTGGAGAGGGCCCTCGGTAGTCTTCAATAGCACTGCCTCATCTCTTTCCACTTTCATCTCCCATCCCCACCTCATCTTCTCTCCTATTTCTTCAGGTGCTTTTTTCCACATTACTTCCATGTTCCTAAATTTCATTTAAGGTGCAGGGTTCTAAACTGGAAACACTATCAGAAGTGAAATTTGCCTGACCAGAGTGGCTCAGTGGTTGAACATCGACCTATGAACCAGGAGGTCATGGTTTGATTCCCAGGCATATGCCCAGGTTGTGGGCTTGATCCCCAGTAGGGGGCATGCAGGAGGCAGCCCATTAATGATTCTCTCTCATCATTGGTGTTTCTATCTCTCCCTCTCCCTTTCGCTCTGAAATAAATAAAATATATTAACAAAAATAAGTGATATTTTAACTAAAATCGAATCTTACAAAGAATATTGCTTAGCCTTCTTTCTATGCCGTACATCTGTAAATAATGACCTTGGTTAATGACCTTGTGTAAACCTGGGCATGTTAACCTTGGTTAGTATGGTTAATGACCTTGGAAAAGCTTGGACATACTAACTTCCCTACTTCTGTTTAGTTGGATATAGAAAGATGAACAAGACACACTCTGATCTAAGAGTTCCTAACCTTTGGGGAAGTCAGATACATAGACAGAAATTATAATATGTGGTGACACTAACAATTATGGAAGTATGAATTAAATGCATTAGGAACACCTGCAGAAAATGATTATGTCTGCCCAAGGGAGCAGTGAAAATATGCTACTGGTATTTTTATTCAATTCTCACCTACTTGCTGCCTTTTCTAGAATATCAAGGTCATTAGATTTCTAATCTTGGATAGCAAGGGTGGATTAAGTCTAAGTGTTTGCACATCCACAAAGATGAGGAAGCAAATTGTGTAGCTTCACAATTGTAATGATTATCTCACTGGTTATCAACAGCAGTATTCTGAAGAGCATTGAAATCAGGACGCAACTCTTCTTTAAAAAGGAGAACATGGTGCCCTGGCAGGTGTTGCTCAGTGGTTAGAGCATTGGTCCACACACTGAAGGATCTTAGGTTTGATTCCTGGCCAAGGGAATGTATCTGGGTTGCGTGTTCAATCCCTGGCCCCCGTGGGGGTACATGAAGGAGGCAACCAATCGATGTGTCTCTCTCTGGCTCGTTCCCTCCCATTCTCTCTAAAAATCAATGGAAAAAATATCTTCTGGTGAGGATTAACAAAACAACAACAAAAAAAGGAGAATATGGTATGACCCTTGTCTTTGACATAGTAAAACCAAATTCCTAGATGTAGGAACATAAATCAACAGTAGAATAGCACAATATGATGATTTTCATTTTCCTATATTTTGTGTTATCTTTAAAGATGAATTCAGATAAAAAAATCAAATTATCTTTTTTTTTAAGGGATCTAGCATTCATGCATACAGGGGTGGGCGAAGTAGGTTTATAGTTGTGAATACGTGAAACACAGTTTATTGTATTATGTTTATTAATCATTATATTATTTTCCAAGTGAACAACTGTAAGCCTTCTTTGCCCCACCCTATATATGAGACATAAACGTATGGGGCGATGGATGGGTGATTGTAGCAAAGTGCATGGGAGGGGGTAGGCATGCCATAAAAGTGAGGCGCCTTCCCCTTCTCCAGTAAAGGAAAAACCTCTCAGAAGAGTGTTTCCTTTCCCAGTGGGCAGGTGTGTGGAGACTTTGTCTGGTGGGTGGATATAGGTGTGAGTCAGTGGGGAGGGGTGAGCAGAATTCGTTTGGCCCATGCAGCAGAATCTTCTCAAAAGAAAAAGAATTAGTTTTGTTTCACAAAGCAATTTTTCTCCAAGCAAAAGTCAAAAGCTAATTGGAGTGAGTTCCCCACCGCAGTGAACTGACACAGTTTGGGGCATCCAGGCTTCTATAAATAACAGATGTATTTAGAACTAACCACCTCACCAAAACCGAATCCTTGCTGCCCGGGCGCAGGGCTTGCTGTTACCTACAGGAGCAAAGAAAACTCAGAGCTGCCACCTTCTTTGCTTTGTTGGGGTAATGCAGGCTCCATCTTCAGCGTTGTCTCTGTATTGTAGTGGGCACTCAAGAATCTCACACATTTTGTCTTTAATAGAAGTACACATACTCTGTCTTGTTTCAAAACATTGTTTTAAGCAACGTAGATTACATGCCTATAAACCCCTTTTTACGCTTTCAAATCAAATTTCACCGTGTTTCTGGGTTATGCCTTCACTACTAGCTCATTTGTCACATTTCTGCAAAACAATTTATATGTAAATAGTCTGCTCTCTGTAGCACCCACTGTCCTCTGATTTGGCATTAGATTTTGATAGGCATCGATCTATAGAACTCCCTTCTTATTGACATTACTTCTTAGACACTAAAAAGTTCATGTGTGTGGTGTTTTTTGTTTGTTTGTTTCTTTAAAATGTTTATGTTTTCCTTCATTAAAATAATACATTTTCATTTTAGGAAATTGAAGACAAGAAAAGTGAAAGAGACTTTAAAATCTATTCATAATGCTACAATTCAAAGCAACCAATGCTGTTTTTATATTTTTCTTTCATGCACAGTGTTTTAAACATAAAATATCATTGTGATTATTCTGTTTAAGCTATCTTACATGATTTAGTTTTTGGCCTAACATGGTTTCTACACTTTAGATATAATATAGTTCCCAAATAAATAATGTCTTCATTTAAAGAGACATCACCATTTTTTAGAAAACAGATATATCTTTACAAAGTGAAAAGTGCTTTCAAGAATACTTTTTGGCTCATAGATATTAGATGTTAGTGTATGCATACAAAAAATTGTAAACGGAGATTGTATTTTTAACCGGAGATTCCCTGAGAGGTGAAGCTCCAGTGGAATTATACTTTCTCAATTACAAAATTCAGAATTATTTAATTTTTATACTAAGTATTTATTATTATTTTGTAATTAAAAACAAAAATTTTGAAATTGCTGATATTGGGAAGTTAAAATAATAACAATTTCAAAGTTAAACATCTACTTTCCTAGTGTGGCATTTTTTTCCTGCCTCATAATTTTTAAAAATAGTGATTATGTAAGTTAGATAACAGTTTCAGAATATTGAATAGCCATTGTTCTATGTTTAACTTATGCCTGAGACTACATCTGTGCACAGAGGAACGTGTCTGGTTTTGTTTTCAAGGGAAAACATTGGTTTGACTTGAGCTGTAAATGAAACCGAACCACAAGTTCAAACCTTGTGTATTAAAGAAAGCCTGATCCTTTTCTGAAGCTCATAACTTTCCAAGACGGCAACATTAACCTTGGCCATTCTTGTTATTCATGTGAGCTCCTGATCCTGGGTAGGAAATTATTTAGGGATCTGTGCACAAGTATCACCAGAACTGGAAGAAAAAGGTTTTGGGGATGACTAGTGACTGTACTGAGCAGACTTTCTGTAGGAAGACAGTGCGGTGGTGGTGGTGGTGGTGGTGGTGGTGGGGGCCAAGGCGCAAGAGAGCGCTCAACGTTTTTTATTCCAGTCAGGGAATCCAGCTGCTTCGAAATTTAGCATTGCTACCTGGGGATGTTAATTTGATAAGTCTCTGCAACCCTTACTTCTACAGGGTGAAGAATTAATTCACTTAGATGGAAAATGCTGTCCTGAATGCATTTCAAGGAGTGGCTATTGTGTTTATGAAGAAAATGCAGAATTTGTGAGTATAGGGCAAATAACTAAAGGCTATTAAGAACTAATAATTCAAAAAAAGAGCTAATAATTCAAAATTAATTTAGTGAGGGGGTATTAACTCCTCATTTCTTTCACCTATTCATTTGTTCAACAAATATGATTGTGGACCTACTATGTGACAGGTACTGGGGATGCAGATGCAGACATAGTAGGTGCAGTCCATACTCTCATGGAGCTTACATTGTAGTGTGGGAACACAGAGGACAAAGTTCTGCCTAGAGTATAAAGCAGCTTAATGGACTAGGGAGTACCTGGGATGGAGGCATGCGCTCTTTTATGTAAGGTGGTTGGGGAAGTCTCTCAGGCAGAGAAATTTGAGCACAATTTCTCAGCAATTGAAAAAGCCTGAAGCAGAAATGTGTTTGGTGCGTTCAAGAAACCGCAAGAGTATGACAGCCCGACTAATGTGGCTCAGTGAGTGTCAACCTAAGAACCAGAAGGTCACCGTTTGATTCTGGTCAGGGTTGCAGGCTCCATCCCCAGTGTGGGAGGTGCAAGAGGCAGCTGATCAACGATGCTCTCTCATCATTGATGTTTTTATCTATCTCTCCCTCTCCCTTCTTCTCTGAAATCAATACAAATATATATTTTTAAAAAAGAGTATTGCTGACACCAAGTGACTGAGGGGAAAGGAGTTGGAGATGAGGTTCAGTGATAAAGATGCATTTACCCTGATGCAGATGGCAGCTGTTGGGCAGTGCTAAGCAGAGCAGTACCTGGGATCTGGATTACTTGTGAGAGGATCATTTGGGCTGCTACTTGATCGAGGGACAGAGGGGACGAGACTGGAAGCAGGTGGTTCAGTTCAAAGGTTTTGCCATAGTCCAGAGAAAGGGTGATGGTGTCTTGGCCTAGGGAGGAAGTGGTAAAAAGTGACCAGACCCTGGATTTATTTTGCAGATAGGATCAAAGAATTTTGATGGATTGGATGTTTTGAAACTCTGCTTGCTAAAGTTTTATTTCTCCTTATATCTGTACTTTTTTACTGTATAGCCAAAGGAAAAAATATTTATCTTAATCTTTTCAAATGTATTCTATTCATGTATCCCATATTTTTCACATGAGGTTGTGGAATGTTAATAAGTTCACCGTGTTCTTAAAAAACCTGCCTGTTGATCATAAATACAACTGCTTCATTGACCAATCAGAAGAGGATTATAAGAATTAGGATTAGGTACTTTGATTTGTGAACTGATTCTTATATACTTTTTCTCTGTGATCTGGGTAGATTGCATCTATCCACCTGCCAGTGTTCTGTATGTGTTGAGGAGGCAGTATTGTGTAGGGTTAGTGTGCAAGCACTAGATTGAGATCCCTACTTTGCCACATACTGTGATCTTGGGCAAATTATGTAATAATACTCAGCTGTAAAGTAGGGATAAAAATGGTACTAGCTCATGGGTCTATTGAGATGATATGTATAAAGCACTTAGAACAGTGCCTGGCACACACAAAACAGCTTTAAAATGATATTATTATGTTGTTGGCATTGTTTAATAGTGGTGTTTCATAATTCAGTCATTCTTGTTTCTTAAGAATTTAAGAGATTAAAGTTTCCCTGTAGATGTTGAATCTGTATTTTCTCAATCATAGTATTAATTTTTCTGCTCATTTTTGGAGGTCAATTAAGCTCAGTAGAATTAAAATAAATTTTAGATTATTTTAAATAAGCGCAAATCCCCTTAATGCTCTTTCTAGTTCTGTGTAAGATTCAAGAGGTTCTTACAAAGTTAGGTCTCTTGACTGTGAAGTCCTTCCCATTGAGGGGAATGGAAGCCAAGTGCTCAAACACAATGTGAGAATGAGAATTTAAAAATATTTCCTGGGCTTCTTTTCTTCGCCTCATATTGCTATGCTTTTCTCGTTTTATATAAAGATAGATTTTATTCCTATTCATAACTGACGAATGGTATTGCATGTCACTTGGGGGAAGATGGATAGTTCCTAATGAAAAAAACAGATAGCTCAGCCTAATGGTGTTTTTAGTGGTATAATAAAAACATTTCTCTTTGTCCCTAGATGTCCTCAAATGCAAGTGAAGTTAAACATATTCCAGTAAGTATAGATTTTTAACTTTATGTAGACACTTATAAAATTGTTTTAAGCAATGATCTGCATAAGCTGTTATGTGGAACCTTACTGCCTTAGGATTTGTGACAGTCATGTTTGATGGCCCTGGCCTCAGATTAAGAATCTTAATAATAACTAAGACTTTGATTCTTTGAACTTTTCCTCCTTTCTTTAGCTTGTCTCCCCCTCCCCCAATTGGTAACGAATACTTCAAATACAAGCTCCTACATAGATCCTTTTCATTCCTGTGATGATTTTCTCCTCCTGAATTTTCTGGCCTAAAATAGCTCAGTTTAGCCATTAGTGCAATTTCATGTACTGCAGAGCATTCAAGAGAGAGCTTTTGGGTCTTGAGAGTGTTCACTCTCCAAGCAATACCACATGTTCACTCTCTCTTGTGTTTGCAGGACAGTGTTGTATGGTTTCTTTTTAAGGGAAAATGTAAGCATGTTTGTTCTTCTGAGCAACCTTACACTGTTGGAGGATATAGAATCTGGTCTGCCTTGAAATGGAAGAAAAGCATTTCTGCTTTCTCAAGATACTCTCTCTCGTTTTTGTAATATTGTCATTCATTGTTGCTAAATACTGCCACATTGGAATTTTAACATGGTTTGGCTTAATAAATATGTTATCAAATCTTTGTCTTAAAATATGTTCTCCTATTACCTGTTCTACCTCCTTCATCACCCCCAAAACCTTCTGGTGGGAACCTTTGTCTTTTTCCTATATTCTGGGCAAGTGGGATAGCAAGCAATAAATAAATAAATAAATACTCTTTATAATTCACAGTAGACTCTCTATCAAAGTACTAATGTTTATTACCACAATTTGCTTGGCGGGAAAAAATATTTTAAAATATATATTTTTTATTGATTTTTTACAGAGAGGAAGGGAGAGGGATACAGAGTTAGAAACATCGATGAGAGAGAAACATTGATCAGCTGCCTCTTGCACGCCCCCTACTAGGGATGTGCCCGCAACCCAGGTACATGCCCTTGACCAGAATTGAACCTGGGACCCTTCAGTCAGCAGGCTGAAGCTCTATCCGCTGAGCCAAACCAGTTAGGGCAGGAAAAAATATTTTAGTGTAAAGCTGCCCTTGGCACATCTATAGCCCACTAAAAAGGTACCTGCCAGGCCCTAACCAGTTTGGCTCAGTGGATAGAGAGTCAGCCTGCAGACTGAAGGGTCCCAGGTTCAATTCCGGTCAAGGGCATGTACCTGGGTTGCGGGCACATCCCCAGTAGGGGGTGTGCGGGAGGCAGCTGATTGATGTTTCTAACTCTATCCCTCTCCCTTCCTCTCTGCAAAAAAATCAATAAAACATATATTTTTAAAAAAGATACCTGCCAGAAGTTTCACTAAGAATACAATGACACTACTGTTACTCTTACCATAGCAACCATAAGGAAATTCGGGGCTTCCACCAGCTTCTTATTGTTATTATGAAAATTGTAGGCAATGTATCTGCTAATCACTAAGTACCGAGTAAACCCCTCTGGTGTTTTCTCTGTGAGATGGGATGGGAAACAAGTGCTCTATGCTTCATGCTTATTGTGGGAGCCCCAGAATGCTTTCACAAAGTATCTCTCTGCCTGGGTTCTATATTAAAATAACCCAATTAAAAACAAAGAATTAGAAATACTGTTCTTTTAAATTTAAGACACCTCTACTAATGTCCTCTTTCAGAGTTAGGTTTGACATGGTACTGATCAGGAGCCTTCACTTTGTCCCATATGGAAATGATAAATTCTCCATCAGCAAACTGTCTTCAGAATCTCTGCACTCTGCTAACAACACCTTTATTGTCTCATGTAGGAGGGAGAGAACTGGGAGGATGGCCCTTGCAAGCTGTGTGAGTGCCGGGGGGCTCAGGTAACTTGCTATGAGCCCTCGTGTCCACTGTGTCCAGTGGCCACACTAGCCCAGGTGGTGAAGGGACAGTGCTGCCCAGAATGCACGGCAGGTGGGTCCATATCTAATTTATTTCTACTGAGATGTTTTCTGCTGCCGAAAAGAACTCAGATCCTCTCCCCCTGCCCTTGCTTTTTTTTTTTTTTTCCCAAACCACCCATTGACTCTGTTGTTTTTTCCTTCCTAATTTTTCTAACAAATGATGTTAATTCATCTTTGTCCAGGTATTTGCCAAATTCAACGGATGATGAGTATATGACTCCTGGCCAAGTCATTGACCATCTCTAAACCTTAATTTTCTTGTCAATAAAATGTGCTTTATCTACCTCACAAAGTTATTGTGAAAAATCAAATAACATAATTTTTGAAAACTTGTAAAGGCAACGATTTGGTAGGACTGTTTCAGTTTTTAAGCTATAAGGACAATTGCTGAAAGTTTGTTATGGATGTCCATTTTTTTTTTTAAAGGTGAGCAATTAAACAGATGGTTTCTTTTGCAATTCTCAAAAGGGTTTTTGAAGTTTAAAGACTCATTAATTTCTTCCAAAGGAAATTTTTACCTACTTGTCCTGAAACTCTGCTTTCAAATCACCTGGGGTGGAATTAGTTCCAGTTAATAATTGTTGGCAAGCGCTGGGGTTACTCTGGCTGAGCAGTAATTTGCCTATGAGCTTTGTCTCTCAGAGAAGTGGCATTTTCTTCCATTCATATTTCATAATTAATTGTTTTCATCCATGGGTTGCAGTTTTCCATATTGGCAGTTGTAGCACTCAACTTATTTTGGCTAATCACAGTGTTTCATGAAGAGTGTATTATGAGAAGAGCAAAGCAACTTTATGTTTTAATTACATTACCTTCACCAAAGTGGCTCTCTGGGTTTTCCAAAGCAAACATTTAGCACATGATAATGTAGCATACCTTGAAAATCAGGTCCTTGACAACTTTAATACCTGAAGGAAATTCTTTGCGGACAATTACCGTTAAATTCAGTGATAATCCCAGTTACGGGGAATGAGATTTGACATTTTAGAGAAAAAGAAGAAAACTGGCTGTATTTCTTTTTTAAAAAATACAATTTTTTTTTTAAAAAATATCGGTTTTATGTCTTAACGTTTTATGCACATCAAAGCTTAAGAACATCTGAAAAGTCATAAATTATCAAATCTGTTTAAATCATATATTGTAGAGCTAGCCATTCCTGTCTTAAGAGGAATTCCTGCAGGTAGAAGCATTAATAGGCTGGTTTGGTAATGTTTTTAGCATCTTTAATTTGAAGCTATAGGAGACAGTGATGCCATTTCAGTAAGGAGGGATTTTAGGAAATCTTGCATTAAAATATTTTTTTCTATTTGGGAGCCTTTTTCCTACTTAAGTTTTAGAGTTTTCTGTTCTTCATATTCCATTCAGCTCTTTTTTGGGGATGATGTAAGAGAAATAAATTAGATGGTCTTTACTGAGTTCTCTTCTTCTTTATCTTTGATTGCAGTTTACTGCCACCCAGACTGCTTGACCTGCTCTCAATCTCCAGACCACTGTGTCCTCTGCCAGGACCCCACGAAGCTGCTGCGGAATGGACGGTGTGTGCACAGCTGCGGCCCAGGATTTTACCAGGCTGGGGCCCTCTGTTTAGGTATGGCTCCAAGCAGAGCATCCAGAGGTGGACAGAGGCTGACTGCTGTCAAGGAGGGGGTCCTGGATGCAGGAAATGCACAACTCCCAAACCATTATTAGATAGTAAAGCCATCCATAGGTTACTCGACTTCTTTACCTGCAGGTCTCTTTCTTCTAATATTTTACAGGTATTTCTAGTCTTACTGGCAGATAGGTGATGGGGAGGGCAGATGCTTGCTATGTAGTCATAGCTGGATTTTTCATTTTTTGAAGGATAGTAATATCAGGATGCTTGGTGTCATTTATTAAAACATGCAGTGAATCCAAGATAGAACTTCAGTATTGACACGGACCTTTGAGATCACTTATTAGAACTTTCTCATTTTGCAAATGTGGAACCTGTGGAACAGAGAATTAACCTACTTTCTCAACATCACACAGGTAATAGAGCTCATCTCTCATGGGTTCTTACCGGACAGAGAATTAACCTGCTTTCTCAACATCACACAGGGAGTTGGTAATAGAGCTCATCTCTCATGGGTTCTTACCAGCGGATCCAGAATGTGTTCATGTGTATTTTAGAATTCTTATATGAAGTGAAAAGGAGAACTTACCTGGGAAAATTTAGTATGGTTGAGGTCAAACCATAGTTGCTTTTTCCTCTATTTCTGAATCATAGTATTAACTATGAATTTAAGAGTGTATAGGTTCATACCCTGGCTGTGAGTATTTAAGCTCTCTGTACCTCAATATTCTCATCTGTAAAATGGGGTAACACTGGTGCCTTCCTCAAACGGTTCTTGTGAAAATTAAGTGTGTCAATACATGTGAAGTGTCTAGGATATAGTCATGGATCAATATAGGTCAACTGTTTTTATTATTTTTGCGATTATTCATTTACTCCTTTCTTTCCTGATTTATAGTCTTCAGACTGTTTGAAATTTATTTATATCTCTGCCATAGGTTGTGAAGGGCAAGAGGCCAGGGGTATTTTTGTGCAATGGTTGAGTGAGAAAGATATTGGGGACTAGTGGATAAAAAGAAAATAACTCAGACCCCTGAACCTAACTGCCTGGCTTCAAATGCCAGTTTCATGTGTCCTTGGTCAAGCTCCTTAACCTCTGAGTTTGTTCCTCATCTGTAAAATGGGGATTAATAATATCTATCCCATATGGTTGCCATAACGATGAAATGCATTTGTATATTAAAGCACTTTGTACAGTGCTTGGCATGAAATAGATGCTCTATGATTGAAGGCTAAGATTTTTTTTTTCTTTTTTATTTCCTGTGACCCCAGAGCCTCAGAATTGAGCTGTGCAGGAAATGACTCTGCAGTGGTGTCTTTGAGCTAATCAGAGCTTCCCTTTTCTTTCTCCCAACCCTGTCCGGAGCAGCCTGCCAGCCTCAGTGCTCCACGTGTTCCAGTGGCCTGGAGTGCTCCTCCTGCCAGCCGCCCCTGCTGATGCGGCATGGGCAGTGTGTGTCCACCTGCGGGGATGGCTTCTACCAAGATCGCCACTCCTGTGCAGGTAACCACTGGCCAGACCAACAGCTGGCTGGGCCACTGAGAAAGCCACTCCCTACTCCTAAGCCATCTGGGGTCACTAGGAGCTGTAAGTAGCTTCAAAGAAATTCTGAACGGACTCCTGATGGGATGAGAACAGTGGATGAGAGAGAGGGCATATGTTGTTTTTATAACCTCATTAGTGCTTTAGTGCTGTGCGTATGTGATGTAATTTTTATAAGTCTTTCTGCACACATTTGGGGGCACTGGGACAGTATTTGATTAGCCCCATACTTTTGGTTCAGGATTGTCATTATGTTATAAGTTAGATTCCTTCATAGTATAAATACAAAGGGCTTAAATGAAAATATAGGAGAAAATACATCTACATATTTTTTAAACTTCATTTCCACCTAAAGAGAGAGGGAGAAGCAGAAATAAGAAAGTGACATCATAATAACGAACTTGGACAAAAAAAGTAGGCATTTAAATGTCCTCTTGCTTTATTATCTATGTATTTTATCAGCTTTATATGCATGCTTTTATTTTAAATTAATGTCTAGTTGAAATTCTCATATTGTAACAGTCTCTGGAGGTGGGAGTAGTCTTAATATCATTTAATTTATTGTTTATACTTGATCACTTTTGCAATAGTGTTATGATCATGGGTATAAGGAAAAAAGTATATATATGAAGAATTTTTAAGTGCAGAAATGAGAGAATGGGTAACAGTGAAAGGAAAGACAGAGGCCGCGTCCTAAGGGCGGAGTCCTCTTCCTGAGGAGACAGGTAACCAGGGGTGCCCAGAGGCTGAGGCAGGTCTGCAGTGGAAGGTAAATTTGATAAGGTAGACAGGCCAGAGGGAGCTTCTGGAATGTTACTCCAGGTATTATGTTAACTACACTATCACCTGGGCAGAAAATGGGCAGATTCATGAGGATAATCAGAAGGTGGGCCAGTTTGAAGGTCAACTGATATGCTCCTCTCTTTCATACCCTCGGTTAGATTTTCAGGGAAATCATATGAAGATTAAAAGAGGATAAGTGCATAATATTCTTCAGATGTGCAAGCTGAAGAGCTCTAAGGCCATGTGAAGATTCCATGTGGGGAGGCTGCTGGTCCCCTCATTCCAGGCTGTGGTCAGAAGCACAGTCCACAGGACTGTGGACATCATCTTAAAAGGAAACACTGGTGCTGTCTGTGCATGCAGATGTGAGGATGGTGGGGCCAGTCCCTTGAGGGAATATGGAAGCCATACTAGCTTCAGAGCCTGGCTTGAGGGCTACAGGAATATCTTCTGTGTCTCTATATCCCCAGCATCAAGGGCTGCACAAAGCATTCAGCATTTGTTGAACAAGTGTGTAATGATGAAGGAACGTACTACCCCTTAATGATCCTTGATGGACCGTGTTTCAATACAAGTTTCAACCATAAAAGAGAAAAGAACCCTTAATGTTTATTATTTGTCATCTTCTATTTACCTGTTATTTTAGAACAGGTTCAGAGTGGGCACATACAAACGGCTTTGTAAGTGTCTAATGTTTGGGCAATTTAGGTAAATGGCTGAAATTTCAATTTGATGAAATCATTGGATGTATTCTTCACTCCTTTCTTCTATCCCATCAAAGAGACCTCCTACTAGCACTCCTGTGACAGATTTGCCTTTAAGAGGGAATTAATTTCCCTTAGATTTTATTCCACCCTCCCTACTGCTTCCATCCCCTACCACATATCCCACATACATATTTACTTTAAAATATTTTTTCCTATTTCTTTTGGAGGAAGCATTCTCCTTTCTCTTATGCCCACTGTTTTAATTGGTGATGTTAATGCTATTTTAGGGCACTTTAGAATAGGTAATGTTTCACTTGATTATTGGTTTATGTAGCTGACTGCTTTCACATTCCATCCACAAAGCCATACACAAATGCCTCTAGTAGAGAATTGCTGGGAAAATTTAATTCCTTCCAGGGAATTAAACCAATTTGCTTTAGTTCAGCCTGGTTGCATTTTTATGCATAAAATGAGAAGACAGAAGAGAGCAAGAGGAGAGAGAGAGAGAGAGAGAAAAGAAGAGGGAGAAAATGTTTTAAAAATTGAAGCTAAACTTGTGATCAATTTCTATATACTGTCTTGATGCTGAGACTACTGCCCAAATAATCTTTTTTAAAAAAATTGAATTTATTAGGGTGATATTGGTTCTCAAAACCATACAGGTTTTAAGTGTACAACTCAATAAAACATCATCTTCACACAAGCAAAGTCTCTTTCCCCCCATTCCCCACTTTTGCCCACCTCCATTTCCCTGCAACAGCCCCTTTCCCTCTGGCTATCACCATGCTGTTATCTATGTCTATATACTATCTTTTTGTTTAATCCTTTCTCATTATTGGAATTTTTTCCAATATTTCTGCTTGTGTCATTTTGGGTGACTTTTCACCATTGACCTTCGAAGACAGTTGGTCAACCAGTGCTCTTTCAGTATGTGTTAAACTTTTCAAAAAGAAGCCTGCCATTCTATGATTACAACAGGTTTTTTCTGGATTCATTCCTCTTGGCAGGGTCATTTGTGTTATGTTGGCATAATTCTCCACTTTATTGACCCATCAAAACCAAAATAAAGTGAACATTGTGCTGAGAAAACTAATTACCAGGAATTACCTGATTAATATTCATGCCCACTGTGTGAGATATAGGCAGAATGAAAAATGTGGGGCAGAGCCAAGCATTACATAAACATGGCTCTTCAACAAAAGAGTTCAAGCAGGTAAGCCGAGGGGAGTGAAAGAAGACAAGAGTCCTGCCAGAAACCACACTTTAAGAGCCCTTATCATTTTCCCTTCCCCTCAATTCTCTGGCATATACACACATACACACATGCTGTATGCATACAGACCTGGACATATGTGTACATATGTTAATATTATTGTTATACTAGTGGCCCGGTGCACAAAATTTGTGCATGGCATGGGTGTCCCTCAGTCCGGCCTACACCCTCTCTAATCTGGAACCACTCGGGGGATGTCCGACTGCCGATCCCTGGGATCGGGCCTAAACCGGCAGTCGGACATCCTTCTCACAATCTGGGACTGCTGGCTCCTAACCGCTTGCCTGCCTGCCTGCCTGATTGCCCCTAACTGCTTCTGCCTGCCAGTCTGATACCCCCTATATGCTCCCCTGCCAGCCTGATTGACGCCTAACTGCTCCCCTGCTGGCCTGATCACCCCCAACTGCCCTCCCCTGCTGGCCTGATCGCCCACATCTGCCCTCCCCTGCCATGACCTGCCTCCTCTGCTAGAACTGCCCTCCTCCATGCTGTGGGGAGCCTTGGGACCCCCCCAGGCACCACGCAGAGCGGCCAATGGGCCCTGCCTCCGCTGTGCATACAGCCATCTTGTGGTGGCCATCTCGTGATGACGTTGTGCGCGAGGGCCACCTAGGCTTTTATTAGTATAGATTCTTGTGCTTGACTACACTGAATAATGTTGTACATATAGATAACATTATGTGCCCCATACCAGTCCCTGCTTCCTTTCCCTCGCCTTCCCCGACTTTGGAGTTTGATGCTTTGTAACTAACACTCAGAACCACCCAGTTTTGATACTAGTCTCAACCAGAGACAGGTAACGTGTAAGTTGTCTCTTTCCCACAACTGGTAAGGCCAAGGATAATCACCCTCTTAGTACCCACATCTCACTATTTAGGCCTGGCATTCGGGCTTCTGCCTTAACCTCTCGGCTAACCTGGGATATGGTCCAACATGCCTGTTGCCCAACCTGTCCTATTCTTGACACCATGACATCAGGCCCTAGGACTGGACTTCTACTTTGCTTCCTGCCACTTTGCCCTGTTGTGATCCATTTTCAGGAATGAACAGCTCATCTCATCATCACCCCCAGCCTGATGGTCAGGCTTGAAGCATGTGTAGATGCTCCTTTCCCCCTCCTTCACCCCCATCACCTTGCCCCCTTTTTGCATGGCTCTTGGATACCACTTGTCCTGAATGTATGGTTTTCTCCTATCAGAGTGGTGGTTCCATTGCCTCTTCTTAGAAATCCAGGCATTAAATCTACATCTGGATTCAGGCTGAGCTCACCATGACCTCAGAACATTCTTTCTTGCTTGTCCTGCTCCTCTTTTCAATCAAATTCTGTTCCAGTCTGGCAGGACCATTGAATTGTGCACACAAATCCTACATATATGAGCTCAGAAGAAGAAAACTTAAAACAAGCAAACTAATATACTCCATGTGAGATTAGTTTGAAATGAATGGACTTTGAGTAGAGAAAGTAGAATGTAACCCATTTTTATATGTGTACCAGTGTTTGTTTTGTCTCCTTAACACTTTTGTTATGCATAATGGCCCGAGGATGGAGCTGTGTTACTCCATGGCGAGAGCTGCCTTCATTCTGCAGATCCTGAGATGGGAGGGAGGGAGTGAAACACGGCACTTAAGACCGTAGGCTCTGGAGGCAAACCGCCTGGCTTCCAGGCCTGCCTCCGCCCTTTACAACGAGCACTTCTTGAACTCTGTGTTTTAGTTGCCTTATGGGTAAAGCAGAGACAGTAACATCGGCCACATAGTGTTCTTGTGAGGATTAGATGAGTAAATGCACACATGTCCTTAATCCTACCAGACCTGAGGCCCTGAACCTAACTGTCCCCTGTACCTGGGCTCCTGAGCATTAAAGAGAAAAAACCAACATGATATTGAAAAATGTTAGTTACATGCAAACAAATGGTTAGAATAAGATGGAACTTGGAGACATTGTAGAAAATAGGTCTACCTTTCATCTAGTGCCAATATTCCACCTTTGTGTGGAAATTACTGAAAAATTGGTACAGCAGTCTGGTAGGGTTAAGGATGGTGCCTGCTACCTAGAAGCCCTGCATATATGTTAGGAGATTTGAAATGTACTTTCCATTACCCCTCTTCCCTGTTCCCTTTCTCTCACTCCTCCATTCATTCCCTTTTGACCACTCTAGGTCCTGAGGCTATGAAGATAAATAAGACTCTGTCTTTGC